AAACCATAAATACAGTAATGGATGTCAGTTCTCGAAGATCAAGCAGGAGGCCACAGGATCCTGGATAAGCCACTGACATGAGAACCCAACTGAACTACTGATACTGATGAATGGTATAAAGTTATCAAAACGGGGGAGGGAGGTGGACAAAAGAAAAAAACGTGCTGATCTGAGAAAGTTGGGAAATGACAGAGGACAAAAAGAAACTTGAAAGAGTTCCCACAATCTGGTGATAAAGTTTCCCACAGTGTATCAGTGGACAGTTCTGAAAGCACTGACTATGTCCACTAGGAGTAGGAATGGGGACAAAGCTTTCTCATTGCTGGGGAGGAAAGCTATAGATAAACAAGAGAGGGGACTGCAATAGACAGTGTAGTACTGACTTAGAGTCAGAGCTGTCATGAATCCATTGTTTGACTTAGTGCGGACACTCACGGGTCTGTAAATTATGTTTCTATGTATACGCACGCACATGTGACTAGATACACATAAGTTTTCTAGGTGTGTCTGCTGATAAGACCTACATGCAGTAACAGAGTAGCAAGCAGAAAGCCCAACACCTAGATCTCTGCTCCTAATACTGTTCTGCAATGAAAGCAACCAGCACCCTTGGAGAAACTGCTCAAGTAAGGGTTCGGGCAGGTGTATATTATAATGCTGGAAAGCAAGGGGGTGTTCTAAAGCAGTATGTGAGTGGGATACAGAAGCCAAAGAAAAGCGCTCCAAATAACCAAAACCAGAATCGTTTGTGGAAGCAAATAACTTGTGTAGGATTGAATGGGAAACAAAGCGGGTAGTAACTATTTATATCAGCGTGAGTTTATGCTGACATAAATAATTGAGGAAGGAGGGTTCTGAATAATTTATGTGGGTACTGTGCTTTCAAGGAGGTGGAGCAGAGCTCCCGCCCCATCACTGAGCATGAGCTGCTCATGGGGCTTTCCTTCCAAAACACAGCATAGACACAGAGGAATATAGATAGCTTGGTGGTCAAGAACCCACAAATGCCACCTACCCTGGGTGATGGACATCACCGGAGGTGACATGCACTCAGAGCACACCCTCTCTTTGTTCACATCTGTGGTCTTCTTCCCTGACCATGAGGAAGCCCTCAGAAAACCTAAACCGAATGATTTTAGATAACAACTAACCATTACTTATTGAACTATCAAATTCATTAAAAAGGAAAAACTACAAGAGACTGTCAACAGCCAAGAGGTCCCTAATGGGACAATGCTAAATACCACAGGGATCCTTGATAGAGTCCTGGGACAGAGGAAGAACAGTGGGAGACAATGAATGGGATTCAAATAAATGACGGTGTTCTGGTAATAGTAATGGGTCATTTCCAGCTCATTGATTATAACAACTGTACTGTAGCAACATGAGACCATCAGAGGGAGAGCTTGGTGCCACTAATACTGGTGCTTCCTGCATTAACTTTGTAAGCTTAGAATAAATCTAAAGGTATCCTAATATAAAAGTGTGTTAAAAACGTGTGTGTGTGTGTGTGTGTGTGTGTGTGTGTGCATGTGCAGATAGGTGAGAGAGACAGAGGGAGACATACACAGAGAGAGAGAGAGAGAGAGAGAGAGAGAGAGAGAGAGAGAGAGAGAGAGAGAGAGAGAGAGAGAGAGGAGAAAGCATTCGCCTGGGCTGTAACTGGATTCAGTCAGTATGTGAACTCCACCACTCATTCAGTCAGGCAGGAACACCACACAACAGGCAAAATCTGTTTTTAAAGGAATTTCTGTCATTTAACCAGCTCTTTGTGAAGCATCCAGTTCTGCCATTCTGCACGTTACATATTTACAGAGGGTCTAACCTTCCAGAGAGTCTACAAGGCACTGGGAATTCAAACTCCCTAAACAGTGGGTCACAGGCCATCAGTAACTCACAGAATCAGTATAGGTCACAATCACTATTATTTGTCTCATTGAAATGAAAGAATAAAAAAGTTTTCTATTGCTTGAAAAATACATATCAGAATGCAATTAACATAATAAAGGTTTGGGAAAAGGCTTATTTTGTGCATATTTTGTGTATATGTGTACTATAGCTATTGCTATAAAGTATATTTCTGTGGGTTTTTTCTTTTTAGTTTTTTCATATAATATATATTCTGATTATGGTTTCCCCTCCCCATAAAGACATTTTTTAAAAATTTTCTGTCATATATTACATCCCAACCACAATTTCCTCTCCCCCTCCCCAGTCTTTCCCTCCCACATCCCCTCTCCCCCAGGTCCACCCACACCTCCATCTCCTTTCAGAAAAGAGCAGGCCTCCCAGGGACATCAACCAAACATACCACGTGTTACAATAACACCAGGCACATACCATCATATCAAGGCTGGACGAGGCAAACCAGTAGGAAGACAAGTAGGTAGAAGAGTCAGAGACAACCCCCACTTCCACTGTTAGGAATCCCACAAGAGCACCAAACTACTCAGGCATAACACATATGCAGAGGACCTAGGTCAGACCCCTGCAAGCTCCCTGATCTCTGAGTCATGGTCAATTGATTCTGTGGACCATGTTCTTTGGTGTTCCTGACCCCTCTGGTTTCTCCAGTCCTTTCCCCCTCTCCTCTACAGGACTCCTCAACCTCCCCCTAATGTTTAGCTGTGGGAATCTGAATCTGCTCCCATTAATTGCTGGATAAAGTCGCTCTGGTCTCTTTGGTGATAATTCTGCTAGGCTTTGGGACAATGCTAAATACCACTCTGCAGGCAGGACAAACTGTTAGTGTCCCAATCCCTCCATTGAGGACTTGCCGGGTTACAGAAGATGGCCAATTCAGGCTCTTTGTCACCCATTACTAGGAGTCATTGCCAGGGTTACTCTCATAAATTCATCCAGTTTCCATTACACTAGGTTTCTACCTCTCCTCTGAAGTGCCCCCAATTCCAGTCATTTCTCCCAGTAGTTTAGCCCCCCCGCTTGATCTCTCCTATTCCTAACCTCACCTGCCCCAAGTCCACCCTTGAAATCTATCAGCAGCCCTCAGAATGCAAAAAGATTTTCACCAACTCCACATACGACAGAGGGCTAATATCCAAAATACATAAAGAATTCAAGAAGTTAAACAACAAATTAAACAATCCAATTAAAAAATGGGGTATAGATCTAAACAGTAAATTTTCCAAAGAGGAATCTCAAATGGCTAAGAAATACATTAAAGAAATGTTCAGCATCTTTAGCCATCAGGGAAAAGTAAATAATTAAAACAACTCTGAAATTCCATCTTACACCTGTTAGAATGGCTCAGATTAAATAACACAAGCTTCTCATGCTGGAAAGGATATGGAGCAAGGGGAGCACTCCTCCACTGCTGGTGGAGGACACTTTGGAAATCAGTATGGTGGTTTCTCAGAAAATTGGGAATTGATCTACTTCAAGACCCAGCTATACCACTCTTGAGCATATACCCAAAGGATGCTCTACCCTACCACAAAGACATTTGCTTAACTATGTTCATAGAAGTTTTATTCATAATTCCAGAAACTGGAAACAACCAAGGTGTCCAGAAACTGGAAACAACCAAGATGTCCCTCAACTGAAGAATGGATAAAGAATGTATGCTAGTTCCAGGACACCCTCCAAAGCCACAGAGAAACCCAGTCTTGAAAAACCAAAAAAAAAAAAAAAGAAGAATATATGCTACATTTACACAATGGAGTATTAATCAGCTGTTAAAAACAATGGCATCGTGAAATTTGCAGGCAAATGGATGGAACTTGAAAAAAAATCATCCTGAGTGAGGCAACCCAGATCCAGAAAGACAAGCTGGTATGTACTCACTCATAAGTGGATATTAGATTTAAAGCAAAGGAGAGTCATACTTCAATCCACAACCCTCAGAGAGGCTAAGTAACAAGGAAGGCTTAAGGAGGGACACAAGGATCTCCCTGGGAAGGGAGAATAGGATAGAAGTACATTCTTAATGTAGGTTAAAGCCCAAAGAGTTAGAAAACTACTATAATAAATTAGGCCCTGGCCTTAAAGGTCTCCAGACAAGTAAATCTTAGAAAAAGGACAAATAAATCTTAGGAGGAAAAAAAAAACAACCTCAACTATAGTTTGATGAATTGCGTGGGGTCAGGTAGAGGGGAGGAACTTACACCAAACAAAACAAAACAGACAAAAAGCAAACAAACAAAAAATCACCTTACACCCATTCACATACTCCTAACCCAGGAAATTACTTAAATTATTTAAGATAATTTAAGTAGTTCACTCCACCATGTACCCAAAGAAATTCAGGACAAGTATCTAGCTCAACTGATGCACAAATTTCTCTACAAGCATCCTAACAAATTTCAGATGGTATTTCTATTGAAACCCCTATCCCATGAATTATTGTTAAGTTCAACTATGCCCAAGCCCCTGGAACACTCAAATTTCTTACACTGCTATTTCAACTTGAAATAAATGTATTGGTACACCTCTAGATTTCTTTCACACAAGCAGAGGAAAGCTTATGTTCCATTTGTGTTTAATATTTTTGGTAGAAAAGTTTCCATCTAAGGGTCAAGTAAGTTGGGGCTGGGGATGTGGCTAGCATGCTTGTAGCCTAGCATCAATCCATAGTTCTGCTAATTAACTAAGCAAATACATTTTGAAGATGTAATCTGTCCACTTAAGATCTCCAAGTTAAGTCAATTCACTTGGCCTTCACAATGAAAATTAATAAGTAGTAGTAGCAGTAAAATGCACTTTTAGTAAAACATAATCTTATCACAAGTGCAAACCCTTAAAAATAAAGAGATTCAAAGAGAGAAAGGAGGCAGGTAAGGACCTTCTTTTATTTCTTCTATGGTTTCTTGAGTGAAAGGTAGGGAGGAAGAGAGAGCGGGGCAAGCAATAGGAGTCTATTTGGGGGAGATGAAAAGAAGTTGAACAAAACAACAACCAGAGTGACAGCTGAACCCAACCACTACCAGTCACCCGGATGAACAGGAGAGCCTGAATAAAAGCCACCAACAAATCCTGAGATTGCATAGCCGCTGGATTTATGCAAATGTCAGTGTTCCTCTTCAGGAACAAGGTAAGACATTTAAGACAATCTTTTCACTGGGAAACAAACACTTTGCTCTGCTAGGGGGAAGTTTAATCATTTGATGGAAGAATTTCCATTTCTTCAGGCATGCACCGACGTGCACAGACTCACATGTAATCTGACCCTGAAGAAAGGCTTGTGCTGGCACCCTCCCAGTGACCTCAGAGTATCGTGCATTGTCATGTGAGAATAACAAGGTGCCATACAGGGTTATGTTAAGGGAGAAAAGAGGACCAGGAAACCAAGAAATCAAGACTCCGAAATGCAAAGGGTGGTCGCTTTGAGTCTCAGTATGTCAAGGAATTCCAAGACAGCACAGGCCACTCTTCATCACTTATTATAATTGTATGCTGCAACCGAAGCAAAGTTCCTTGGTGAGGTTAATTATTTAACAACACACAGTTACTCTGTAAGCCATTAACTTTTCAAACATTTGCTTCTTTTGAGTTCTCTAAAATTAACTGCTACCCTTAACAGCAATGGAGTGATTGCTCAGGGGTATTAGAAATGTTAGAATAAACTACTCACATCTTTATTTTTTTTAATTTTTTTCAGTTGGAACTCTTCAGAATCCTGGTGGAAACAACCTATCTTAATTGTGGCAGAACCAGGGGTGAACACATTTGCTAAAACTCGGGCTGTGCAATGCGTTTGGCTGTATTTTGTGACAGTTTCTAAACTAACTCGATAAGCCTGTGGGGGCAGGGGAGGCACTATCGAGTAACTGGGGGGGAGGTAGGAGAGAAAGTTTTAGGGTTTCAAAGTTGGAAAGAAGAATTTAAAAGAGGAATAAAAATTCACTGCTATGATGTAACTTTAGGGCGCTGCAGTAAACCGGGGTTGTGCCTTCTCTACAGTGAAACACGTAAAAGAGAACATTCGCTGTGGTCCTGACATCTGACTACAAAGGAACGGAAGGGACTCTGGCTAAACCACCCTACTCTACAGTCATCCATTTTCTCTGCCCTATGCTGGAGCTCCTGAGGGTATGGACAAGGTCAAGTGGACCTTACCACAGGCCCGACTCAATATGTAATTCCTTTATCACATGGCCCAAGCATGGAAATCAGAGGACAACTCTGTGGCACTTGTTCTCTCCTCTGTCACCTCTGTTTATATAGGTTCCAGGGATCAAGCTCAGGTCACCAACACCTTACCTGCTTTTTATCCACAATGGCACCGTGTGTTTTTCCCCCAAACAGCACATTTGTTTTGGGAGTGTATGACAGAGCTAAGCATAGTTGCACATGCCTCTAATTTCAGAACTTTGGAGGCTGAGGCAAGAGCATCTACAAGTTCAAGGCCAGCCTGGTCTGTGTACTGAGAGTTCTCAAAGTGGGGGATGGGGGGAGGGAGGCATGGTTGTACATCCATATAACCGCAGTACTTGGGAGACAGAGGCAAGAGGGTCAGAAGTTCAATACTATCTTTGGGCACATAACGAGTTCAAAGCCAGACAGGGCTACATAGCATAATTTAATAAACAAAAATAAATCTTTAAATAATAAGGTATGCCATCATCCAATTATAAGTGGGTTTGTTTTTGTTTTTTACTTTTCTCTCCCTGTATTTATATAAAAGATCTGGAATAAACATAGTCTTGGTTCTATACTCAATCTGAACACCTCCCCAAATCTTTTTTTACGAACATATTATTATGCTGTTTGAGGAACTTCCTGTGGCCATTACTTACAGACTGTTCAGTAACCTGCTATCTGGCTGTCTCACAATGGAAGTACTCTTCTCCAGTTTTGAAACTTCTGTATTATCAGCCACTTTACACTTACAAAGAACATAAATGAACCTTTTGATACATTGAAGTCACTCCTTAGGTCACTAGGCGGTGGTGGCCCACGCCTCTAATCCCAGCACTCAGGAGGCAGAGGCAAGTGAATGTCTGTGAGTTCGAGGCTAGACTGGTCTACAGAGCGAGCTCCAGAACAGGCTCCAAAGCTACACAGAGAAACCTTGTCTCAAAATAATAATAATAATAATAATAATAATAATAATAATAATAATACATTCTACTATCAATTAATACAGCTCTCACTCATCGATAACTATTTGAAAAGTGTTTAATATTCTTTTTTTTTTTTTTTTTTTTTTTGGTTTTACAAGACAGGGTTTCTCTGATTGGAGGCTGTCGGTCCAGCCTGGCCTCGAACTCACAGAGATCCGCCTGCCTCTGCCTCCTGAGTGCTGGGATTAAAGGTGTGCACCACCACCGCCCGGCTGTGTTTAATATTCTTAACCACCAGGGAAATGCAAATTAAAGGTGCTTTGAGATACCAACTCACCCCAGTCCGAATGTCTACTAACAAATCTGACCCAAATATTGGAATGGGCGTAGAGAGGGAAGACTCTTATTAACTGTTGGTGGGAGTGCAAATTAATATAACCATTGTGGAAATCAGTTTGGAGATTTCTCAAAAAAAATTAAAATTAGAACCCAGCTATTTCACTCTTGGGCATGCACTCAGAGAACTCCATACCCTACCAAGGAGATTATTTGTACTCCCTTGTCAATTACTGCTCTAGTAACCACAGCCAGGGAATGTAACTGGCAATCTAGCTGACCATCAACAGATGAATGGAGAATGGAAGTACGGCTTTCCTTGAAATTTAAAGTTCAGCTTTAAAGCTATTCAGCTCTGAAGAAAAATGAAATCGCAAAATTTGCAGGAAACTTAATCAACTTAAAATGTGTAATACTAAATGAAATTACACAATCTCGTAAGGAAACCACACGGTGTCCCTCACACACAGATCTCAGCCTATAACATATATATATGGGTGTATCTGTAAGCAAATGTACACGAGGGTAAAGAATAACGGGAAAGGGGAAATGGGTGATAAAGGACAGGATGCAGGTAATGGGTACTTGAGTCACAGAAGAGAATGTAACGCTAATTGTTTTTCTATTTTTAATTCTGACAGGTGTTTACATTTTTGGCGGTAGGTAAGTGCATAGAAACACAGTTGCTAGTGGAAGCGTAAAACCCACTGGGAAACTCAACAGCCTCAGAATGGCTTTTCTAACTGTTGGGGCTGGTTAATTATGTGTGTCTTTTTACTATTATCTGAGAGTTCTTTATGATCTTAATAAACAAAAAATGGAGGCGCATGGAAGTTACGTAACATCCCTCGGGCAGCGTGCTCGGTAAGTACAAAATCATATCAATCATATCTCAGTGTGGTTTAGAGTGGCTCTAAAGACAGGTTTTGTCCTTGACTCCACCCAGTGTCCGGAGAGGCGGTGCCCGAGACAGTGGGTCCTGCAAGGCAGAACAGAAGACAGGACTGGGCTAGTAAAGGATGCCCCTGAGGCTGGAAGAGAGCAAAGAGCCATGGTGGTTGAGAGGACAGACAAGGGGCAGCTGTGGGCAGATGAGCGGGAAACCATCAGCAGTTGCTGATGCGAAGCCTAGGTTCGGGCTTTTGTTTGTAATGAGACAGGATGTCAGGCTTTGTCCCTGAGAGCAAGAGAGGTTTTCTCCTAATGTTTATGTGTTTGCCCAGCACAGAACACAATCAAGGCCAATAAAAGAAAAGAGATCCACAATGCCACAGATGTACTCAACATCCTCGTTCGGAAATGACATGCACATCTTTTACTGAAATGTGAAAGCAAATTTCTGAACTACCTTTGATTGAGAGCAAATAAATTAAATGCATCTGTGATGTACTGTCACCATGAGGTCCTTAATGTCAGAGATGAGAACTGGCTCAGCTTCCCGCCCAGAGCCCTTCCCGGTATTTTTATCTTTCCTTTTCTCTGTAGAAGAGGACAGCACTTGTGTCCTCATTTAAAGTTAGCTTTGCTTCTAGATTTATATCCCCATAATTAGATTATAATTTAGCCCAAGGAGCAACTCTCTCACCCATGACTCTCAGAATTATGGTAGTACTTAAGTACATCTCTGTTCTTGCCATCTCAGGAACTGACATTCTACACTTGTCTCTGAATTAACTTAATGCAGAAAATGTCCTCGTTACACGCTGAGAAAAACACATTTTTAGAGAGTTTTGGAACGTTAACTTTTCTTCACTTAACTCACAATGAAAAATAATAAGGTCTTACCTTTCCAGTGTCAAGCCAACCTCTGATGAAAATCCCAAAACAATTCTACCTGCCAATAATCTATTGAAAATCTCAGGCTAAGCCTGGTGGCATAGACCTGTAATCCCAGCTACCTGGAAGCAAAGGAAAGAAGGTTATAAATTCAAGGCTAGCTTGGTCAACTTATTGAAACTCTTTGTCAAAGTAAAAACATAAATCAATGACGTGATGAATAGAAATTTTAAGTGTATTTGATATAATTTGGAACTTGTAAGAAAAGACTAGCCAGGTGTTGGTAGCACACGCCTTTAATCCCAGCACTCAGAGGCAGAGGCAGGTGAATCTCTGTGAGTTCGAGACCAGCCTGGTCTATAAGAGTTAGTTCCAGGACAGCCTCCAAAGCTACAGAGAAACCCTGTCTCAAAAAACTGAAGGAAAAAAAAAGAAAATACTTTATTTATGTGCCTATCTGTGTGTCTATGTTCATGTATGTGCATGAGTACATGTACCCATGGAGACCAGAGGAGGACATCAGTGCTCTGGAGGTAGAGTTACAGGTTATTGGGATCCAAATTATAGTCCTCTGTAAAAGAAGTAGGAACTGCTAACCCCTAGGCCATCTCTCCAGCCTCAGATTTGAAAGTCTCAACCTTTTTCTATAGCTCATTTCTCAGGAAATAAGATCTTACCTTTTCAAGAAATCAGACTAACACCTGCCCAAATTTTCAAACTCCAAATTAACTCTATTTTCTAATAGTTTATGTAAAACCCCAGTCAGTTGCAGTGTGGAACACCTTGGAAAACAAAGGCAAGGGATCTCAAGGCTGAAGCTAGCCAGAAGTTTTAGTAAGACTAAGACTCAGTCTCAAAAGAAAAGAAAAAAAAAGACAAGCAAGCAAACAGAAAACAATTTAGGGAATTATATCTGTCACTTGTTCATGACAAGCAATATCTTCAAACAAATTCCACTGACAAATATTTACAAATTGGACTTAAAGCTAAAAACTGAAATCCTGTTCAAATGTGACAGTATGCAATATGTGTGTCATTAAAGTTTAAATATCCGGGGGCTGGAGAGATGATTTAGCAGTTAAGAGCACTTGCTACTCTTACAGAGGACCCAGGTTTGAGTCCCAGTTCCAACACCCACCCTTAACACCAGTTCCAGGACACCCTCTTCTGACCACTATAGGTACCAGGCACCCAAGAAGTCCACACACATACACACAGGCAAAGCATCCCTACAAGTAAAATTAAACAAATCTAAAAAAAAAATCTGAACCCCTGCAGACCCTTTAAGTCAGACATCTAAAAACTGCCTCAACAGGGAGCTTTATTTCTTCAAATACCTCTCTCTATTACCTAATAACAAAACAAACAGGGTAAGTTTTTTCAGAAATCACAGAACTCAGTACAGGAAAATACAATAAACAGAAGCATGGGACTCAGAGGACTGTCAGTGCACAGTCTGCGTTCAGGAGGAAACCTGCTGGAGCCTATATTCTAAGGTTAAGGAATCTCTACTAGCATTCACATCTAGTGAGTTCTATAGTACTGCTTTGAATCTTCTGTATAAACAACGTGCATGTGTGCGCACACACACACACACACACACACACACACACACACGAAGTCATTTACCTCTGCTTTTTCCACAAAGCATTTCTTACTTGATGCCCTCTAGAGCAAAACATTTCAAATATTTTTGGCCAAAGAAAATATGTTGAGCCTAGTGCAACATGTATTCAGGAAAGTAAAAATTTTATATGGCATTTGTCTTATTAATCATGACATAAATTTTTATTTTTTATTTATTTATACAAATTCTGTTTACTGTTCTAAACTAAAACTCGAGATTGGATAGTACTGCCCCAATTATATGATTCGCTTTCTTTTTAATGACATAACTCTATGTTACAATTCAGAAGATTCATCCTAAATTCAAAAAGCATATATAATTGATCAAGTGTCTCTCCTCTATAAGTAGTCTGTAGTGTAGAATGGTTCAGAAGAAGGTTAGTACTTTTGTAGTTTTATGGTGATATGAGAGCATTCAGTATAAATGAGACCTCCAGTTTTGATTGTTGGTCCTCTCCTGGGCTATGTACGCAATGACACTCTCTTCTGATCCTGGGTGACAGAAGGATCCACACAATCACTAAGGGAAACAACCGGCTCCCTCTACCGGGTGTGCTATACAGCTAATCTAGATGTTCTGTAGGTCAGGCGTGGTTAACATATCTTCATCAGGATGTAACGTCGTCTACAAATGCAGGAGTGATACAGTCCATGGGACTGTATCACTCAGACCTTTTGGGGGCCTATGGTACACCATACTCAATGTCTACCACTAAGCTATGATCATGTCATTCCAATTAAGAGAGTCAAGTCACGGGCACAAGTGGCGGAGGATCTGTGTGTCTACACTATCCCTGTGCCAGGATGATGAGTGAGAAAAGACAATAGGATGGTTCTGTTGATGCTGGGTCCTATGAGATTACACGAGGCACTGTGGTCCAGAGGGCACAGGACTAAATCTGCAGCCTGGATATTAGGTCAAGTCTTAATTGACCCCTTTGGGCAAGATCTAGTTTGCTCATTTGTACCAACGCAAGTCAGGGCTCTTTCCCATTTAGGTCTCTGAGTTTAAATAGCATATGGCATACAGCAGGTGCCCAATAGATGCCTTGGTTGTAGGCAGGATGTCATGTAAATGGTAACATTTGAAATTCAGCCTGAAATAACAAGAGGCTCACTAAGCTGGCCACTTCACACCATTGTGTGACCAATAGTGTTTTTCTCTTTCCAAAGCCCCAAACCCAAAAGAGGTGAAGGGGGACTGATTTTAAATTTTTTTTTCAGCAGATAGGCCTTGTAAGAGGATGTAGACTCTTCTCTCCACCTCCAGGTTAGATGTAGCATGAGTGCTTTCTTGCTGCATAAAAACTGAATGTAAAACCTGAGCTACCCTTTGCCCGTACACTTAAGCTTCATTAATCAACAAAGTGCCCCATAGACGTGCCCACACACCAATCTGATAGAAGCACCTTCTCAACAGAGGCTCCCTCTTCCCAGATGAAACTAGCTTGTGTCAAGTTAAAAATAAAAACAGATCAGCCTGGTCTACAAGAGCTAGTTCCAGGACAGCCTCCAAAGTCACAGAGAAACCCCGTCTCAAAAAAACAAAAAAAACAAAAAAAGAAAAACCTCGACAGTCCATCAGACATCGACACAATAAATGACCGAGTGGTTGATTTAATGTGTCCATTCAGTCACGGCGTCTTGCTAGCATCTTGGAAGAACACAAAAGATCTCCCGCCTTTGCCACACACCTTGATTTATCATGGATCTGTTTGATAACTGCAAAATACCATCTGATCAAATGAACAGTACACACATTAAGTCTTTTACACAGTTAGATAAAAAGAATACTGACCTTCATAAGAAACCAAGAACCTCGAAGTCTAGCCTCAAAGGATGCAAAGAATTACTGCTTTCCCAGCCACCCTTACTTATGAGAGTCCAGTGTCTGATCATGGTACCCATGACTGGTAAATAGGGATGTGACTTCAGGGTCTTTTTTAATGTATTCCTTGCCACCTCTTTCTGTACCTCAGTTTCCCCCGAGATAGCCCATACTAAGTCTTTCCAAATTCCCTTTATCTTTATTAAGAAAAAAATCTTGGTGTGTTATGAGCTGGGCTTGATGGTACAAACCAATAGTCACAACATTTTGGACGCCAAGATGGAAGGGTAATACTCTCCACAGCAAGACCCTCTCTCATGCACACACGAAGTATGTATACATGCATAAGGCAAGCAAGAGCCATGTTGATTTTCATCTGAAATGTCCCCTGAGGCCCATGTGTTTGAATGCTTGGTCTCTGCTGGCAGTGTTTTGAAAGGTTATGTCACTTTAGGAGAAAGTCACATGACAGCACCTGAAGGAAGAGGATCACTGGGGTGGGCTTTGAGATCTTATAGGCTTACCCTACCTTCTGTCTCATTTTGGCTTCCTGACAAAAGACACAGTGTGACAGTCTGCCTTACGTCCCTGCCACCATGCTCTCCCTGCCGTGACAGCCTCAATTCCTTCTTAAATAACAAGCCAAATCAATCCCCAGCCTCTCAAGTTGAATCCTGTCCAGTATTTGGTCACAGGGGTGACACAAGTAACCAACACTAAGCTCTCTTGTGTTCTTTTTTTTTTATAAAATTGCTTATAGCAAATTCTGAACCTGTAATAGGAAATATAGCATTTAGATAGTAACTGAACAATAATGCAATATTTAATGCCACTGTATTTGGCCTATGTATGAAGACTTCACTTGCTGTGACAAACACCTGACAAGAGGCAACTTAAGAGAGGGTTTACTTCATCTGGCTAAAAGCCTGCCTACAGGTTCAGTGACATACCCTGTCTCTCGGGAATATGGCAGAAAGCAACAGAGCAGAGTATCTGATGTCCTCCTCTGACCTCCATAGACATAGACACAAGCACCAGCTCTCATGTACGCGCGCGCGAACACACACACACACACACACACACACACACACACACACTCCAGAGAACACACAGGCATGAACACACATGCAAACATGAATACATACACACATGCAGAGGCACACAC